GAAAGTTTTTCTTGACTCCTCACATCACTACCATAGAACCCTTTGTGATCTTCACAGCAGCATCCTCTAAGGTCACCCAATAATCAGCTGTCTCTAAAGTACCAAGAGAAATGATGTTCTTCGTCAACTACGGCACGAACCTCACTTCTTTCAACTCCCTCACCACACCATCATGCATCCTGATCCGGACTGAACCAATACCATCAATAGGACATACGTGATCATTTCTCATAAGCACGACATCCCCTTTCCAGCTCCTCAAATCTGAAGAACCAATCCCTCCTAGGATAAATATGATATGTGGCTCCCGAATCTAACATCCACTCCATAGAGTCGGCATAGCAAATCAACGATAGTGCAGGACATGAATAGCCTGAAGAATTTGAATCTAAATGTTCGTCAATACTTTTTGTAACATTCACTTCTGAAGCCTGTACAGCTTTCCCCTTGCTCTTTCCGTCTTTATCCTTCCACTCTGGGCAGTCAATCTTTCAATGTCCTTCTTCTTTATAATATCGACATTGATTTCAACCAACACTCTTATAGGCACATTTATTCTTTGATTTTGAGCGGTTGACTTAACGACGGTTTGGACTACGGCCTCGAACTGCTAATGCATCTTCTGATGCATTCTCAAAGGGTTTACCATCGCTCTTCCCTAGCTCATAATTTACCAACGCTGAGGTCACCTTCTTGTAGCTAACAATAGTTTTTTTATTGATCATAGTGAGAACAAACGTACCATAATCATCCTCGGGCAACGAACACAAAAGTAGCATCGCCTTGTCTTCATCATCAACCATGATGTCCACATTGGCCATATCTGAAAGTAGTTTCGTGAAATTATTTACATGCTCCCTAATGGAAACTCCTCTTTTCATCTTGAACTGGTAAAGTCTCTTCTTCAAGTAAAACCGATTCTCAATGCTCTTCGTAAGATACTTCTCATTGAGTGTTCATCACATTCTCTTCGTCAACATCTCGTTCATCACGTCATAGATAAGATCCAGCGTCAAGCATGATCGAATAACTCCACAAGCTCTATTATTCATCTTTTTTCAAACCTTATCCTCCATGTCAGCGGGTTTCTCTTGTAACTCAAGAGTCTCCTTTAAATTATTAATGCTCAGACTCTGTATCGCCTTCATAAGAGACGAACCTGATGTGTTTGTTTCTCCCATATTGTCAATCTAGCTCTGATACCACTTGTTGTGCGCGACGAAAGCTTAAAATCACACGAACAAGAACGAGATAAATCAAAACTAATAAGCCAAACACAATACCACAGCAAGACAAATAAATTTTACGTGGTTCGGCAATTTGCCTATGTCCACGGGGCAATGAGAGGGAAGTTCTTACTATTAGAAATCAAGAGAATACAAATAGGATTACAAATCTCTCAAATAAATCCTAAAACAAAGCATCTAGATCTCTCACAAATCTTTCACAATTGGATGCAACAATCCCCTCTCAAAGACAGCTCAAAACGTCCTTGTTTAACCCTAATTAATTAGGATTAGACTTATATATTAACTCAGAAATAAAACGGGTTGAAAACCAAAACTCAGCTTAGACCCGACTCGCGGTCGACCGCAGAACCACTCGCGGTTGACCGGATCCAACAACCGAAACTAAAAAACCCTACAGGATTTGGCCGGTCAATCGCAAAACCCGTCGCGGTCGACCGCGAAAACGACAGAAACTTTCCTGAGTCTCTGGACTTTTGGCAGTCGACCACGACCTGATACTGAACAGAATTCATCCTCGTGCACGTTGGCGGTCGACCGTCACGCCACACGCGGTCGACCGCACAACACCCATACCTATTCCTTCGTCTTTTCCTGCGGTCTTCATCGTTGTGCTCGCCATTTCTTCATATGGCAGTATATTTAGATTTCCCCCTCCCCCTTTTCTAAGTGTCTAGATTAATTTATTGCTTGCTTCCTCATGGACCAGTAGTGTAGCTATGAAATAAAATGAAAGGAAAATGATCTGAGAAGTACTCAGCTCACAGGTCAATTGTGTAATATGATCAATTCTGCAATGTTAAAGTGTGTAAAAAATTCTTCTATTGGAGAAAAGGAAAGACAAAGGGGTAAATTACACTAACCCCCAAGAATTTTCAGCATTTTGTAGTTAACCCCTAATAACTTTCAAAATCTGGCTAAACTCGTAACTTTTGCAGAAATCACCCATATCTTTTGGGTATATTATATTGAACCCCCAACAACTTTCAAAATACCTTTTTATGTCGTTTTTTGCTCAAATTTATGGGGGCTATCTGCAAAATGTGGAATCTTATTGGGGGGTTTTCACAATTCCAAAACTTGTTGGGGGTTTATTGCGAAATTGAAAGTTTTCGGGTGTTTACAACAAAATGCCAATAATTCTTTGGGGTTAAGTGTAATTTACCCAAAGAGAAAGGATCGGGAACTCATCATTGCCCCAATAGAACAAAAGAAGAAATTATTATTTGAATTAACGAGAGTAGATGATACAAACTCAGCCCACAAAATTCACAAAGCAATGAAGGCCCAAAAAACAGAAGGCCATGACCATAATCTCTCCTCAAAATATATAGGATTTAGGCAAAGCTTATGAAACATTGACCTTGGGTGTTAGGTTCTAAATGGCTATCAAGGTTTCCAATCCGTAGAAGTTAGGAAATACAGCGTCTCGTGACATGGGTTCAATCATCCTATATTCACGTGGGACATGATCCAATTCACGAACTCCAGCGACCCAACTTAAAATTTAAACCTTTTTTTTTTTTGTGTGTGTGTGGGGT